TTTGATCCTCAAGCGTTCCCTGCAGGGACATCATTATTCAGTCACTGCACTTGGTTGACAGGGCTCTGACAGGCCAAGCATTCAGTCTGCCCTTCCTGACTCACCTGCATTTTGCCTGATGATTTCTCCTCCTTCTTCTTGTCCCCACTGGCTGCAATTGTTGCAAAGTACTGGATGACACGCTTGGTGTTCACAGTCTTCCCGGCCCCGGATTCTCCGCTGCCAAAGCCAAGAGAGAAGCAGAGGGTGCGTGGTCAGGCAGGAGGTGCCCTGGCACCGGGCAGCCCCGCAGGGACCCGCGCAGGGGGTGTACGTACGTGATCAGGATGGACTGGTTCTCCCGATCTGTCAACAAGGCAGAAAAGAAGAGATTATTATTATTGCACTGGCAATAGGCAGCTGATTTCTTTCATAAACCCATTTGACTTCACTCATTTTGAATATTTTGATGTTCTCAGCTGCAGGTGGGAAGCTGACATCTCAACCCTCCGACAGTGCCTGGTGTAGAACATATGCAGATATTTTCTGGATAGTTCCTTCATGTCATACTCTTAAATTTGTTTATGAAAATGATTCCAACTAAGGATCAGTTTTGTAGAGTTACTGATTAAACGCTCTATCAGCAAGCTGAATTGAACTGGAGCATATGCTTCTCATAAACTTTATTACATAGGAATAACCACTCCTGATCAGTCCACAAGACCCTTTAAATGGTTTTTACGTTGTTTTCAATTGATTGTTCATTAAATAAAATTACAGAGACATCATACAGAGCAGTCTGCTCTATAATATTGAAATTTTCATACTTCCAGAGCTGGAATTAATCTATCTTTTTTCAATAGCTTGAGCTGAATTTGCTTCCCACAATTTTGTATGCTTTCTTAACTCATGCTAACTTATTTTTTTATTTTTTTGTTCCATTGTTATGCTCCATTTTTGAACCACTCGATGAAGGAAAAAATATGTTCCTGGTGTTGAGTTTGTTTCATCATGTACTCTGTCTTTGCTATTCATCTTATCTTTGCCATGCATAATTTATAAAAGTAATAAAAATCTTCCTTCTACAGTTACCAGCACAGCCTGTCCTACCTTTGGGAAACCTTTTTATCTTCCTCTTGACCTGTTCCACTTTACTACTTTCTTTTTTGAAGAAGGAAGCCTGAAAATGTATATGACACACCAGGTGCCATGATACCCCTTGTATATAGTAATGCTTTCTGTTTTGGTCTCTATTTCTTTCTCAGTGATCTCCAGGCTTCAGCTTTTTATTTTGTAGATTCATGATTCTTGAGACAAAATTTTGAAGCAGTATTAGAACACACTTATAAAAGTTGTTGGCAACAAGGGGTTTTTTTCCCCAGTGGCATTTGTTTTACACCCCTGTTCACAAAAATTTTTTACAACTTGACTGAATAAGAACTTAATGTAATAAAGTCCCCCTGAAATGAATTATTAGACTTAATTTCTGCTGACCTTAAGAACTTAGTCAAATCAAAAATATTTTCATCACTTCCAGATTATTTTAAAAAATGTTGAACAGTTGAAGGCCCAGAACAAGCCCTTTGACACTCGCCATTCAGACCACTCTTCAATCCAGCTCACCATCCACTTGTCCTGCCCTCCCTCCCTCCCTGAGTTTGCCTATGACAGTATCATGAGAAAGAACATCAAAACCCTTGCTGAAATCCAGGCAGACAATATCCAGTGCTCTCCCCTCATGTCTCAATGCAGTTATCCCGTTGTAGAAAGAAAACAGGTTGGTTAAGCATAATTTCGCTTTGGTGAAGCCATGCTGACTACTCCTG